CACACACACACACACACACACACACACATCTTCTTTCTCTCCTCCTCCCTCTGCCCCCTCTCCCCACAGGACCATTTCAACATCTGAGTCCCTCTGCCTGTCTTCCTTCCCTCCCAGAATCCTGCCTGTCTTGGGGCCAGAGGGCTTCCGGGCACCATTTTGGTTTCTCAATCCCTGAGCTCCAGCTCATGGTATACTGTTCCAGATAAAGACAAAAGACCTTTTCTTAAGTAAAGTTCATGCTTTTTCCTGGTACGAGTCTCTCAAACCACCTAGGGCCCACCTATTGCTAGTTTGAGGCACTTCCCTCGCCCCGTATGAGGATGGCGAGGATGTGGTGACTGACACAGCAGTGATCTAACCCCTTTCCGCCTCAGGTTATCAGCGCCCCCTCCCTGGAATATTCTGTGACTCATTGAGGTGAGGGCCCTCCACCCTTTCCTCCCCCACACAGGGAAGTGGCCTTTTGAAAAGTCTATTGATTATAATCTCTATAATGTACCCACAGTATGAACTGGCCAACACCCAAGACTGGGAGGCACAACCTCTTATAATCCCCTACTCACCTCTCTTAGATATTTATTCCCTTTGTTGTTTGTGTGTGTCTCTTGGTGTGGGGTTCTAAAATCTATATGAACTGTTTAAGCAGAGGGAAAATGTCTTCACCACTGCTAGAGTGAGAGAAGTATACATATTGGGTTGTCGGGAAAGTCATGCCATATTTTTCTATGTTTTTCAATGCAAAAATGCATCATGACTTTCCCGACAACCCAATATTTTTTTTCTTACAGAGTAAACAGTATGGTAGTTTCCTTTTGTCTAAGAACTTAAATCTTGAAATTCAAATAAAGGGGGCCAGCTGCTTCTCAAGAAGTTTTGTTTTCTGCTGATCCTAGCCATCACACAAATGCTCCGTGTTTTCCAGAGTTCATTGTCCAGCGCACTGCAAAGATGAGCCATCCTACTGGGCTCCCGTGTTTGGAAGCAACATCTACGCAGATGTGAGTATGCTGGCATTTTCAATGACCACCTCTCAAAGCCTGTTAAGACCTCAGAAACCACGTTCCAAGGTCTGGATTCCAGAAACCTGAGCTCTCATTCCTGGGCCTCTAGCTAAATTTAGACCACTCATTTCTGCAACCATTACCCTAGTTTCCCATTTATAGTGGTATTTGTACTTCCACCTACGTCCGCTCGTGCATACAGATGCAGCTGTGCCTCGTCTCACACAGACGTTGTTATCTTTTGGTAAACTGAGTCCTGCTTCGCCACTGACATGCATTTTCAATGGGAAGGTTTTCATGAACCACATACTTCATTTCCCCAGATATTTAGTCATCTTTCCAGCTCTCCTGATGCGCTTGTAGATACTGGTCCACTCTACTCACTGCATTTCTTTTGGGCTATGTATACACTTAGCTAAAAAGCCCACAGAAGAAAATACAAATTCTTCTGATTTACTTCTTGTTAATAATCACTCTTACTATAGTAGAGCCTGTTCTTCTATATTTCCCTCCTAACGTTAGCAAGGAAGCTTTAGCCTGATTTTTTTTTTTTAAGTGAATCCTCCAAAACACAGTCTGTTCCCTTCAGCGGCTCAGGGTTTATGGACATGGTGACCCAGAAGATGTGACTCTGGTCACTGCTCTGCCCAACAGGCTGTGCGATCTTCTTGCCAAGCCGTTTACCTCACTGTTGAAGAGCCAGCGGGGATTTTCTAGTTCAGGGAATCTTCTAGATCTAAATTTCCATGATTAGATCAGCATCATTCGTCCCCAGCTCGCATTTTTCCTCAACCTTTTCTCCCCTTCGTTTTATGGTTCTCTCTCATCCACTACCGTTGTTGCCACCATCTGCCTTCATTTGTTTCAGATTATTATAAATGTGAGGACACTGAGTTCTGTAAGGGCAAAATCAGCTTCAGGGCTAACCTTTGTTCCCCGTCTTTTTTCTTTAAATGAGTCTTTGTTCTTCTCAAAAGCTATTCAGCCAAAATTGAGTTCTAAAAGTTGAAGGGAGGAATAAAAATAATGTATATCAATTGTTATGCTAAATGTTTGAACCAAAGTCTGCTATTAAAATACAGAGACTTTGATTTTAAAACGATTTAAAAATAAAGGGATGAGTCAAGTGATTCCAGCCAAATACAAAGAAACAAACATGATGTAGTGGTAGTGGCAATATTGCTATCTGATAAAGTGGAATTTAAGGTTAAGCATACTGAATGGGACAGAGCAATTAATTATGCAGTGACACGTAAAGTACAATTTATGAAGATATGAAAATCAAATCTATATGCACCAAACAACATAGCAGCTAAACATAGAAAACAAACCACCACCCCCCCAAAAAAAATGGTTAGAAGTGCAAGGAGAACTTGATGAAAATTTAGTAGTAACATAAAGCTGCCTTTTACTATATTTTAGGTTCTTAAGAAACAAAACAAAACAAAAAATCTCTAGGTCTTGTTATCCCCATCTTACAGAGAAGGAAAGGGAGGCTCAGAATAAGCTGCCCCAAATCACACAGGCTTAATACGAGGCAAAAGTGAGATGCCATGAGGGTGTGTCTTGCCTTAGGCTCTGTTCTTTCCCGACTCTGTTCTGCCTCGCTTGAATGTACCTGCATTCATAATTCACTGATGTGAATAGGCATTTGGATGAAAACAGGTCTTCAGTCTTTAACTAACTTGTTCTCTAGGGTTTTGAGCTTTTGGAACCACAGTGCTCATGACAGGGCTTGGCACACAATAAGTGTTCGATTAACAGTTGTTGAAGGAATAAATAAATAAAGATACTAC